GAGACGTCTTGGATATTTGATTTGTGGATGATCAGTATGATGCTGTGTCCTACTGGTTCAATCCACATCAGAAGATGAGTGAGAGAAAACTTCCTTCATAGCCTTGTTCAACTGGTGATACTAAAATCTAGTTAAACCCTCTTTCTTTCCTACCAGGATGATGGGAGAGGCCCAAGGACTTGCTGAAGGTTCGATAACATCGCTTTCTCGCATGCCCTTTAGAAGTTTTCCTACCTCTTTCTGTTTAGTAATTGAGAGACGTCTTGGATATTTGATTTGTGGATGATCAGTATGATGCTGTGTCCTACTGGTTCAATCCACATCAGAAGATGAGTGAGAGAAAACATCTTGAAATTCTTGAATGACATGTTTGGCAGCACTCCTCTCTTCGCCTCTTAATAGTGCATCCTCCAATGTAATGCTGTCTGAAGAAATGGATTCTGGAAAGTTACTATTTTTGTTTAATGCTGGTCGCTGGAGTACATGCTGCAACGACTTTACCTTTCGTAATGATTTTCGGTTTATGATTCTTATTAGCAACTCTCATTGGGATAACTGTCCTCGATAAGTTGACGAGAGCCAAGGCTACTAGTACTGCATATGGGGTGTTACAGTTCTTGAGATATTCCATTACACTGAAAAAAATTTCTATTTTTGGCTATAGATCCAGGAAGTAAAAATTATGTTCTTGTTGGTATTGTGATATTGTCTTGAGCTGTGATTTCAAGGACAGATTTAACTCTTTTATTATTAATACTGAACAAGGCTATGTCATCAGAGGTGAAATGCAGTTTGTTACTTTTTAAGTCAGAAAAATTATATTTTCATAGAAAGCCTAATCAAAGTATGCAAGAGTAGATAATAATTGCTGCATGAGCTGTGTGTGATGGCAGGTGGCATTCCCAAACATGATATTAATGTTTCACTTTTCAAGTTTTGATTTTATCACCAGACACAATCTGAAAGGTAATGCAGGGTGGTTTTCAAATGAGTTTACCTTCCAACTATTGTGCTAAACCTTTCCAGATGATATCATTGACTCCAGTATTGATGGTCATATTGCAAGGAAATCCATTGATATGTCCCATGATGAAAAGTCCATTACTGCTCCCACTTGCTGCAGAAATCTGAACTGCTTTAAAACGGGGCTTCTCATTATCTGTCAAGTTCCATACCATGAGATAGCCACTAATTAGATTCCCTCCTTTTAGCTTCCATGCCTTGATGTGTTCTACAGTTCCTTCATACATGGCATTCAGGACCACAGTAATTAATTGTCTAGACAAGCAGTCGTCAGTTGATCTACTGGCTCTTGAACATGAGCAGTTCTTATTGGGTGAAGGTCTCTATAAGTTGCTCTCTCGGCTGTTTCAAATTTCATCGCATACACTAAAAAAACTTTAAAGAGCTCTTTAAATCCTTGACATCTACCATTCACAAGGCTTTCTGTATCTCAGAATATCAGATAGCATCGATGAAGTACTACAGGGACAGGTTTTCCAAGTCGAAATGAGAGCGCCTTTCAATATCTGTGGCGAGCTCCTGGAATGTTTCTGTTGGTGGGATTTTAACTGAAGCCTGCTATAGTGTTTTAAGACACTTCTGTCCAAAGTGACAGAGCTTCAGTCAGCATCTGCTGTTTGGGTCTTGAAGGATATCTGTTGTGTCTGCTCTCACTGGAGTGGTAGAATGACATGCCTAAATTTGGGAATCCTATTCATTTGCATCTGCCACTACAGAAAATTTATACTAATAAACTTGCCAGATCTTACCATCATATGTGGATAGCTTTAGAGAGAGACGAGACGGCATGGGCAAAAATTTTAAAACTATCAGAATTGCTTCTTGCTGTCGCTATGAATTTCTTTAAGGTATCAAGTTCTTTGGTGACAGCAGAAACTCTCTCTTCAATTTGTTCCTTGACAAAAGAAACTCTTCAGTTTCTCCAACTTTGTTTTCAATTATATCTATTCTTCCTTCCATAGCTTCAAATTTGTTTTCTATTATGGTAGTGACCTGCTTCAAACTTTCCTTGAACTGACTTAACAGCCTCTTTCATCTCTCCCTGGCCAGCTTTCATTTCTTTAATGGACTTGATGGCCCATTTCATCTTTTCTTCGCCTCTTTAACAGATTCTTCTCTTCATTGAATGCAATTAGGACAGCTGATGGCAGCTGTCTTAATTGCTTCTTCATCGCTCTTATCACCGGCATTTAGTCCCACTTCTGACACCAAACATTGTTGTATTCGTAAAGATTGAATGCATACAAAACTGTTGATAAAATTATCAAAAGAAAACTTAAGAGTTCTGGAACTTTCCACAAAAATACTTGTACAGTTCTTCAGAGTATCACAGAGTTCAATGAGTAGTTACAGTTCAACTACTAACAGCGTTAAATGCGAAGCTGTCACAGATATCTCAATACTGTGGCTCTTAACTAACAACTACTAGGAAACTGATGCTCAATCTCTGATCTAGTTTCTCCCCAACCACCATGAAAATCTGTAGTATTTCTCAAAATTACTGGAAAGCATATGAGAGCCAGATATGTTTACAAGTATTTATAGCATCAATTATAGTTACTCAATTATAATACCCGTACATAGGCAATGGACCAAAATGTCGCCAGGTTTGGTGATAAAAATTAGTTGCCAAAACCATCACCAGCTTGCAGATATCTAACCAATTTAGCAAGATAGACATTTACTCAATATTAAAAAGACTTGCCCTGTATTCTTACTTTTCTGGCAAGCTTCGCTTCTTTAGATTTTTCATATTACATTATACAAAAGAAATACAACAATTAAACTGTATACCTATAAAATTCATAACAATAGTTTACATAGATCTTTCAGCAAAACAATAAAAGAAATATAAGTTGAACAATAGATACAGCTTCTGCTAAAGTACAGATTTCTTGAAAGTCATATAATAGCCTTATCTTCCGAAAGAAATGGATAAATTTTTTAAGATGTAGACCACATTTGCACTTTTGTAGCCTATCTAAGTTGATACATGAACAGAAAAAAAAAATAATATGCAATCATAAATCTTAACTCAAAAATGAGTTTTTAAATGTAAAATTTAATGTAATGTAAATGTAAAAAATATGGAATTTTTTCCCCTTAAATAAAAATATCTTACTCTATATTTCAATTTTAAAACTTCTGATATTTGTTTCTGCTTCTTTTGGGGAAAATGGGTTAATGTAAAATGTAGTTAAGAAAAAAAATGTACAATTTCAACATAATAAAGTACATGAGAAATTTTTTCTGGAAATATATTTTATTTGCTAGGAGAGGTCATTAATGCTTCATGGTGTATATTTCTTCTGGGATCTGGCACCATCAATTTAATGTTCGATGGAATTGAATAAACCTTGAAGACTGAAACCTGATGTGGATGTTCTTTCCTTTGATAAAACTGATCACAGGAAGCATTAATTTTACCAAAGCATATTACTTTGTGAATAAAACTTTAAAAAGAAAAATGTGTAGAGTATTGCAATCTGTATGCTATAGCATAATTTCAACATCACCATTCTGTTTTAATTTGGATGCACAGATTAACTGTGTGCAAAAGACAGGTTGAAATTTTGCTATTAACCTATTATAGGATCTAGGAAGCCACTCTTATGGTGCTATATAATGTTTGTTCCATATGTAAGAAGTAAGGATAAAAGAATTTTTTTAATTATTCACTTTTTTAGGGTGATGAGCAAAACACTTTTATAAATAAAAGGTTTATGCATCATCTATCGACAATTAATCATGGTTCTTAACTTTATGAGATAGGATTTCATTTATACCTAGATACAATAACACATCTTCAAAGTGCTTACAAAAACTGGTGTAGCTTGTTTTATTTAAAGGAATGTGGTAAGCCTAATAATATGGTAAAATCAAAAATCTGTGATATATTTATAAACATAAATAAATTATGTTAGTCATACAGAGTTAATTTCATTTGGAAGTATATTTTTACACTTATCTGATAATGCAAAGACAGAAATATGACGATTAGTTCAATCATTAACCTGTTAACTGTTGCACCCAGCTTATATATAGGTAGTGATTTTAATATTGATGCATCTTCTGAGCCTGCTTTTTATGATATGAATCAGCAAAAATTTATGTAATAAAAATTCATTACAGTACAACTCCCATTATCTGACTATCCGACTCAGTTCAAAATTTTTTAGAATCAACTGAAGAAGAGAAAGAAAAGGAGAAAAAGGAAAAGAAGCTGAAGAAAAGGAAAGGGAAGAAACATGAGAATATGAGGACATGTCACTTGAGGAATTAAGAAACATTCTTTTGAAAATTCCTGGATGATCAGAAGTTAATGCTGAGGATACAGCAGAATGGATGATGTGTGATTCGTCAGACCCTGGATTTCAAATTCTAAATGATAATGAACTTATTGAAAGTGTTGAAGAAGAAGAAAACCTTAATTTCGAAGTTGAAGCAGACACAGGACCATCAGTGAAGTTAGTGAAGGGTTTGCCGACCTTGAAACTGCGTTGAAGTGGATGGAGCATCAGCACGAGTGTGACCACAATGCAACTTCTCGCTATCAAGCGGATGCGCAACTTGACTGCTCGAAAATGGATGAAGACAGTCAAACAGCTTACTTTGACCGAAATATTCAGCAAGCAATGAATTTCAGCACTTGTAAGTACTGTACAGTACATATATAACATGTAAGTAAAAGTGTTGCCTTTTCATTTTAATAAATTAAAACCACTTTTTCTTTAAGTTTTTTTCCAATTTTTAATATACAGTAATTAATTAAAGTCTACGTTAGACATTTTCTTTGAACAAAAATCCAATTATCTGAATGGGAGGAGGCTGATCCCAATTGATAATGAGTTCTACTGTATTTGTTTTTATCAGGCCCATAACCATTTTAAATGCACAACTAATAATCGATAGATGAGAGCACTATTTCTGGAAATTTAATTTCATTTGACAATTTTTTGCTATAGAACAAGACATGATTTGTGTACTTTTTTTATTATTTTATGACATTTTTATAACTTTCTAGTTATCAAATGGCATGAATAAATATTATTTTGTCTTTTGAACAAAGATTTCTCAATGCTTTCAAAATTTGTTATAAAGAAGGTAATACAGAAAATTGGATCTAAAGGGTAAAATGATATAATACATAAAACGCTGAAAAATATTTATTTTAGTACTTTTTTTTTTTTTTTTTTAATTATACTGCCTATCAGAGGGGGTATTCTAATAGCAGATGTGAAATATAAGCATGCAAAGAAAATTCATATAAAAAAGGACTAGACAAGGTGATTAAGATAAGAAATGGTACAGTTGTCAGAATCCTTAATACTAGACTATACATATCATTTCAGCATTTACATACACAGAGAAAAATTTTTAAAGTTAATTATTTATGAGCCAGTATGCAATTTTGTGCGAATAAGACCATCATTTTAAAATAGCAGCATAAATTACTTTTGTCATACACATAGTTTTGTCATGTAAATTGTACCTGCATTGCTTTTCCTATTCCAGTATACTGTCTTACCACAAGAACACTTCTCAGCAGAATGTCTGCAGCTATCTGTGGCCACAGAAACAAGCCCTAACTCATTTTTTATAGGAGTGTCTTGAAAAAATACATTTAAGTTTACCTTCTTGATGCATTTAATGATGAGATGGTAATACATGCTTTTTGCTTTATGTATTTTTATTAAAAATATATTTGTTAAAAATTGCTTTATTTTTCCTATGGGCAATATTTGCCAATAACAAAACATCTGACCCATGCTTATTTGAAATGTATAAGGTCTGTTATTGTAGTGACTGCCTTATTGTAAATATACTGCTGAGAGTAGTTCTCATGATTAACAGTAAGCACATGAAGAAAGCCAAAAAAGCATCTTAGAAATTTGATGAAAGCTATGCTGCTAATAATATAAATAATCAATTCAGATTTTTGCAACAGTGCAAGTTTTTAGGCTACTTTAATCTTTTATGCAAAAATGATAACAACAGATCTGTGTATCCCAAACATAGATCACTCTGATATAATGGTTATTAATTTTGCTATTATATTTAATTTATCATTTCATTGACAACATGGCTTATTATGTAAATTTTCACTAGGTCACTAAATAACTGATATTGAGATTCTATTAATGCTTAACATTTAAGAACATTGAATCATATTCTGGAATATAAAATTTAATAAAAGAATTCAACTGCATAATGCATATGAAAACAGGCCTGCAATATTACATGAACTTAATATTAAGCTAATATCTATTTATAAAACTACATTTTTTATTACCCATTATAATTAATGATTTTTTTAAATCTTATTTTTGATAAGTACTGCAAATTTTAATTGCACTAACTACATATATGATTTTAATATATTTAAGTGCTTCAATTTTTTGTAAATTCCCTACTACAATATAATTAATTATTTGATATCCTAGAATTTCATAATTCATTTAATTATATTGATACTGTTATTATTATACAAATATTTTCAACACTACAGATATTAAAGCATGAGGAAAAGGTTTTATTAGGCACTTAAAATTGAAATAAATATGAAAAGAACACTTCAGATGTTCCAAAATTTGATTAATTAAAACATCCAGAATTTTTTACCAACATTTACCAAAAATTAATAAGCTTTTTAGATATCTCAAACTGTCATTATCAAGAGTGAAAAGGCATTTATATTAACCTGAAACTAAATACAAGTAGCTTTATTATTCATAAAATATATAAACTTATCAAACAATCTTGTGAGATTATTCATAATGTAATGTTCGAAACAATTATCACACTGGAACTCCATTACAACCTAAAGAAAAGGTTATACATTTACAGATGTCAACAAATGTATGATTTAAAATAAGTAACACATTTAGAAAAAGCATCCTATTTACAAACAGCAAAATACACACAATAAATCATATTTTTATTCACATCTTAAAGTGCTAGAGTATCTTTAATTAACCTACGAACTGCTGCTCCTACTGAAGGATTTGTGGGTCCTGATGTTTCATGTGAAATCTATAAAAAATTTTTTTAAAAAAATATATTAGCCATTATCAATAGATTATAATTTATGAATATTAAATGCATAGAATAATACAAAAAAGTTGTGTAAGAAGGTTAAAATAATTTTAGTAAAAAGAAAACATTATATTAAATTGGAATCAAAATAGCCAATATCCCTGCATTTTATGAACTGCATATTCCGAGAGTCGTTGATAGCAAAAATGAAATAAAAACTGTTCCAATCAGATATTCTGCATCTTAAAAATTGAGGCATAATGCATCAAGAATAAAATATTGAAACAGAATAATTGAAATTATTTTACAAATTACATTTGTATAGATAATTTTGAATTACATTCATGTTTCTTTTGATCCATTATGGCATTTGTAAATTTATGATTAGAGTTTCAATGAATGAAATACTGTAACTGCTGTTCCATTACATCCAATTAACCCTCTGAATGACAAGGCCTTTTTGAACCTGCTCATGAAGCCCTGTATTTAGCATTACGAGCAGCCCAGGTTTTTGGATCTGTCATGAAGACCTGTATTTAAAGAGCCTTTATTAGCTAAATATGTATATTTACCTATTTTACTCTCTATTTCCATAAACTTACATTCATCAAGATGACATTCATATTATTAATGAAAGAAAGCAAAATATCTTAAATTATAAGCTAATATATAACAAGTGACAGAAAATCTCATGACTGGGTAAAGCTGGTCGTGGCGCTTAGAGGGTTAAATAGAATTTACTAGCTAAATTTGTATAATTACTTTAGTCCTTGTTTTCATAAACTTCCATTCATAAAGATATTTACATCATTAAAGAAGGCAAGAAAGCAAATTATTTTAAATTATATGCTAATATATGCAAAGCAACCAAAAACTCATATTAAATAAAGGTGGTCATGTCCCTCAGTTGGAGGGGCTGGCATATGGTACAATCTTAGAGGGACGGCGTATGAAGTACGCCAGGTCATTTTTCGAGCCTCTGCTTCATGTTTGAAACTATTTAATCTCATACATGGCATTAATAAGGTAATTCGTCATAGTAAAAATGATATAAGAAAAAGAATAACAGAAAAAAAGCAGTAAAGATGGAAACTACGAATTTTTAATTAATTCAAAAAGTGGATGCACTGGAAATGTAATTTAAAGTTAAATAGTATTCTGCATTATTTTCTGTATGAAAATTATAAGAACATAAATCAAAATTACAAATTATAAATATTCCGTAAAGAAAAGTTCGGTAAGTAATAAATTTCACAAATGAGAAATTTGAAAACCTTTTGCTATTTTAATCCTCTTCCGATTGTCCCTGTTCACTGCAGCAGGGTTTGCAAAATTGTACTGTCTTGCCCAGATGATTTTTGCAGGTAAACTTAGAACACTCGAAACATTTTATGGTAGTGTAGTTATTCTTCATTCTACCGTACTCAGCGCAGCGTCCCTTGATCTTTTTTGCAGGTGGTTCCTTGTCCCTTTCGGCCGTCTTGTCCGCTTCTGTTGTTACCAGCCTTCTAATAATAGCTTTGGAATGCGACAGGAGAAATGGCATTTTCAGACGATTCTGAAGATGTGGTTTCAACAAAGATGTAGTAGATTTTTCAAAAAATATCTTCTAAACTTGATGGTTGCATCAGGTTTGGAGAGGTTCAAGAGCACTTGCAAATTTATGCCCACTACGTTGAGTAGTGCAATAAATATTGCCATTGTCCACCTCTTGGTTTTTCGGGCGACAGTGAAATTACTACAAAGTTAGTCTACGGTATCAACTCCGCCTTTATATTTGTTATAATTGAAGATTATTTGAGGTTTATTCGTTTCCTGGTCAATTTTGTCATCATCGTGTAAAGTACTGAGCAGTATTACACACTTCTTTTTTTCGTTGAATATGAAACAATTGTCATATCCTTTTGAAAACCAAACAGTGAACTGCCGACTTCTCTGGCTTTTGAAGGCTGGAATTCATTTGGAATTTCCTTTTTAATTTTTTTCAGCGTGCCCACAAGTGTTATACCTTTGGTAAGAAGATATTGAGCTAGCGGGTAGCTTGCATACCAATTATCGGTCGTCAGGTTACGGTTGGAACCTTCGTATGCACCAATTAGCCTTTTGACAATGTCAATACTTGAATTAGGAGCCTCTTAAGGTCCTGGGGTTTGATTGCCACATTAAAGTTCAAGCTTCAATGTATAAAACGTTCGTGAGTCAACAACTGCAAAAATTTTCAGACTATACTTTGCGGGCTTGTTGGGGATGAACTGAATAAAAGAGCACCTCCCGCGAAAGGGTTCCAACTTCTCGTCGATTGTGAGTTCATCACCTGGTGTATAAAAGTTTTGACAGTTCTGATTGAAAGATTAAAAAAATTCTCTTAGAGAAGCAAGCTTATCAGTTTTTCTTCGCACATACCTTGTGCCTTTATCATCGAATCTAATAGCACCACACAGGTTTCTGAATCGCTTGAGACCCATGACTCCTTGCAAAATTTCAATTCCACAGGGTTCGTAGCAGTCCTTATAAGTGATTATAAGTCCTTATGTTCGAAAATAAAATATAAAGGCCCTTATAGGTGCTTACTTTTTCTTTAAAGCCCTTATTTTTTAAATGAACGCGCAATTATTCCCCGTACCAAAGCGAAACTAAATAAACAACTTTTCTTCCTAATGTGGAATGTCAGATGGTGAATCATACACCTGGAAATAGCTTTTCCCCCTTTCTCTGCATTAACATAACCTCTGGTGTGCGCGGAGAGTACAGGTAAAGAATATGTATTGTTCTTTGGTACAGGCAGGTGCCCGTCATTCTGTTGGTCAAAGAACTGCGAAAGCAGTAGAAAATTCCGATACATTTGGCATTCTTTTCCTCCCACCCACATATTACACACGTTTGAATTTCTATCAAGATCTTAATAATTTGCATTCTCGTTCCACTTGGTCAGTTCATATTCGTGTTTATTATGAACGTTATGCTTATATTATGAGCATATGTATGAATGTTTATAATAACATAGTTGCAGTAACTGCTGAAGTATAGTAAACTTCCAAAAATGGTTGTGTTTTGACACAGATTAGCTTTCTAATTAATAATATTCGGAATGGCGTAAATAAACGGAAAGTAATCGAATAGTCAAAATAATTTCATTTTCTGGCCAATACATTATACAATACGAACGTTGGGAGGTTCTGCCTTTTCTCCACAAAATCTCGAATATTGAAACTGTTACAGTTCGTTGTAAAACAAGCAACTTTTTTTTTTTTTTTTTTTTTTTTTTTTGTCACTTTCCAATCTGGATTGAATAGGACTAAAAGTTCTGCGGTCTACCAACCCAAGCGAAGAATGATTCTATTCCAGAAATTTAACGCAGTCTGTTGAAAATTAGAATGAAAAAAACCCCAAGTCCCTTTCTTTTCCTTGATTTAGTTCTTTATTCTCCCAATATAGGCAGCTGTTGAATCCAATTGTGTAATATCATGTAGGGAAGAATTACGGCGCACGTATTGTGCAATAACGTTTGCGATATTTTGCAGAGGTATGATGTTCGGTCCGAGATTTGTTTATGAACACTTAAAAGAGTTTTTGCTGAGCAGAATATTTTTCTGTTCCATTGGTTTGTTTTATATGATGCACATATCAAAATGTCAAAAGCATTTATTTAGCGGAAAAATCTAAAGAACGGCTACAGTCTATCCCCCCCCTCTGCTCCTCTTTTTGAAGTTACACTCGACTGTCCGAATATTTGCCAATTTTCAAGTATGCTGTGGAAAAATCCCCCAAATGATTTATGTATCGCCGTTAGAGGGCGCTTCGCTTCTGAAAAAGAATGTTAGTTTTTAGTTTGCGACGTAGTTAGTTAGCAGTGAACCTTCGATGCAATCCAAGTTGCTTTGTAAATAAAATGATTATTTTCGTAGATTGTTGAAGTATTTCACTTCATTTAGAATTAGAACCACCTTTCGCATTATGGTGCATCGGCCGGGAACCTTTGGCCAATTTAGAAGTTTGTGTTTTTTAATTTTGGATATCATTTTATGCGAAGACAGCCAAGGTAAGCCTGTATTTTCTATTTTTATATAATATGGAAGATCTTATTGCTAAACTGAAATCGAAACGAAAGGTATTGAGGACCGGAGTGTCCAAGATATTAAAGAAAATTGAAACCGAACTGAATAAAGATGATAGTAGTATAAATGTAAATGTATTAGAAGAAGTTTTAGACCAGTTAAACGAAAAATCAAAATCCTTGAGCAATTTAGACGCTGAAATAGAAAGAGAATTAAAAGTCGAAGAAGACGAATTTGAACTTGAAATCTCATCCGCTTTGGAATATGAAGAGAAAATTCAAGTGTGGCAGTTTAGAGGAAAGAAAAAGTTAAAAGAGTTGAATAAGTTGGAAAATTCGGACAATGCAAATAGAGACATTTCTAATGAAACCGTTACAGAATCCCAAAACGAAAGTAACAAATTCACTCGTCTTCCAAAATTAACGATTTCTAAATTTTATGGTGATTCTTCGGATTGGTTAGAATTCATAGGTCAGTTCGAAAATGCAATTGATAAAAAACCGAATTTATCAAAAATATAAAAAATAATTTACTTAAAAAGCTTTCTTGGTGGCTCAGCCGCCAAAGCTATTTTCTGGTTTCGCTCTCATCGAAAATAATTACGAAGCTGCTCTTGAACTGTTACGTTCCAGATTTGGTCAAAAGAACATCTTAATTAATTCGCATTTAGGACAACTCTTAAGTACTTCACCTGTTAGAAATCCTAATGATATAAATGGATTAAGAAAACTTCTAGATCACGCCAAAGTACAGATAAGAAATCTTGAAGCATTAAAAATAGACTCTGATACCTACGGAAATCTCTTAACGCCTTTAATTTTGAAATTACTTCCTAATGAATTCGTTCTTGATTATAGCCGAAAAATTAAAGACAAAAATTGGGATTTAAAAGGTTTTGTTAGCCTTTTTGAGGAACGAAGTATTCAGTAGAGAACGTGCGGC